ACTCTTTCCTCCAGATTAACTTGTTGGCAATTTTTAATTTGTACAATCAAATAAACGGTTCTTTTAATTTTCCCACAATGAGAGACACAGTAGCACAGTTAAACTGTTACTTCCTGAAAACAGCAAAATATTACCAACTTTAAAGTAACATTTCTCCCACTTAAAAAAAGGAAAATCTCACAAAGCAGTCTGTGGAATGACTTGCTATATGCTACTAAGGAAGTCAAGAATCCCTTTAAAGAAAATTTATACTGAACATGCTCCTTTTTTTAATTCTAAAAAGATTTATTCTTTAGGATATTAACACATGTGATTATTTTGTACATTTTAGCATAAATTACAAATGATATATGAATGACTAGTTCTTTGTAAATTTTATGCAAGTTACTTCTGAAAAGTAAAGAGAAAAAACTTCGTTATTTATATCTATGTATTTCAAATATAACTGACATTATTTTCTTGTGACCAAAAAAACAATGGGGTCATCTGACTTCATCTTTCTCTCTCTTTTTCTTCTTTTTAAAATTTATTTTATTGAGATATAGTCGATTTACAATGTTGTGTTAATTTCTACTGTACAGAAAAGTGATTGAGTTATACATATATATAATTCTTTTTGATATTCTTTTCCTTTATGGTTTATCAGAGGATATTGAATATAGTTCCCTGTACTATTCAGTAAGACATTGTTGTTTATCCATTCTATATATAATAGTTTGCATCAGCTAGCCTCAAACTCCCAGTCCATCCCTCCCCCACCCCCATCTTGCTGACAACCACAAGTCTGTTCTCTATGTCTCTGAGTCTGTTTCTGTTTCATAGGTAAGTTCATTTGTGTCACATTTTAAATTCCACACATAAGTGATATCTTATGGTATTTGTCTTTCTCTTTCTGAGTTACTTCAGTTAGTATGATAATCTCTAGGTTCATCCATGTTGCTGCAAATGGCATTATTTCATTCTTTTTTATGGTTGCATAATATTCCATATCTTTCTTTTCCATTTCCACTAATGGAATGGAATTAATGCAATCCAGGCTCAGATTCTCAAAGTCAAACTGTTACCCTTAGAACTCAACTATTTGTTTTTGGACTCTACCATCTTTAATTCATACTTATATTGGGCTGGCCAAAAAGTTCGTTCAGGTTGTTTGTAACATCTTATGGAAAAATCCAAACGAACCTTTTGGCCAACTTAATATTTATTGGTTATTTTAGGTATCAGAGAATGCTTGAGTGAAATTGAAAAACTCTTTTTATTAAATTTAATTTGGCATTGTGGAAGGATACAATAAAAATAAACCTATGGATATTGAGAAGGTATGCATATGAATAGAAATTTGGAAATTATATGTACTGGTGAAAGGACTTCCTAAGATATATTTAAAAGAAAATAATAGATATTGAAAAAGATATGAGAGAAATGTTCAGATTGCAAAAAGATAAAGGAAGAGAGAGAGCAACAGAGAGAGGTATTTAGAACAAGTAATTGGTGAAAAGGGTGGGTATGGTTTGTCCAACACCCCATAATAAAGGGAGGGTGCTATATTTGGGAGTTTTTTACGTTAATTATCTGTGCAAAATATCCTGAATTTTGTTTTTAAAGGTTTATATCGCTTGACTGTCTCTGAATCTGCATCTGTTGGGATGTCGATTGGAAAAATCATGGCATATGATAATGACATAGGAGAGAATGCAGAAATGGATTACAGCATAGAAGATGATTCAAAAACGTTCGATGTCATTACTAATAATGAGACCCAAGAAGGAATAATTATATTAAAAAAGGTAGATGCATTAAAATTATTTGTTTTGCATAATAATGCAAAATCAAATCAGAAATACATATATATTTTGTGTAACCAGTTAGTTTTTGCTTTGTTAAGTAATTAAAATAAGACCCTGTGATTTAGTTTAGGGAGCAAAAGAAAAGATATATTATATGTGCTTTTATAAAAAATTCTAGGTTATTTCATTTTTTAGAATATTAACATACGATTACTGACATTTTAGTATTAATTACAAATAATAATATACAAATAGCTAATTATCAGTTTTATGCAAGATACTTCTGAAAAAATAAAGAAAAAAGCTCAGTTATTTATATTTTATATCTATATATTTCAATTATAATTGATGAGAGAGTTAATTATTACCGAGATCTTTTGAATTATATTGTAGAGTAGTTTTTTTAAAAGATTTTAATATACAGGAGAAACTTTTTGAAATTATCTTAAATAACAGGAAATTAATTCTCAACTCCATATTTATACTCAGAAAAGTATACTTTTAATCCTAAATAAAAAATATAATTATTAACCCAAAACATTTTATAATAGATGTAAATAACAAAATACACATAGGGATTTGCTACACAACTACTTAATGAAAATATCAGAGGGATCCAAGAACATAAGTAGTAAAACCTAACTGGAAAGCAACTGAGACTTAATTTAACAACAAAAACTTTTTTCTTCCTAAGTAATTCCTTGGGTCACTGATACCAGTTTTCTGTGTACACTGCATTTCTTTGCAGAAAGTAGACTTTGAGCACCAGAACCACTATGGTATTAGAGCAAAAGTTAAAAACCGCCGAGTTGATGAGCAGCTCAGGAAATACCATACTGAAGCTTCCACCACTTTCATCAAGATCCAGGTGGAAGATGTTGATGAACCTCCTGTTTTCCTCCTCCCGTATTACATATTTGAAATCTTTGAAGGAAGCCCGTATGGATCATTTGTAGGCACTGTCTCTGCCACAGATCCAGATCAGAGGAAATCTCCTATCAGGTATGTCTGGAAGGCCAGCTTTGCATTACTAAATGAGGGAATACAGATTAGCTTGAAAATAAAATTTCGTATTAATGTAACAAGGATATATCTAGATCTGTATTTCTCTCTAAAGTACTTATAAAATTTGCAACAGTTTAAACAAGTTGAAACAGGAAGCCTCACTATTGGTTAAGATGCAGTGAAATAAGCACTTGAGAACATGTGCAAGAAAGAGGCAATCACCAACTAAAATTAGATGCAGTCAACTCTCTATTAATTGGGGTAAGAAGGTGAGGGAAGAGAAACCCTTGATTATGCCAAATCAGAGCAGAAACAAAGCTGATCAAAATGTGGTTCATCTAAACACTGTTTAATTAAAATGACATTCAAAAATAAACTAAGCTTTTATAGGGTACCGCTAAAGGAGTAAAAATGAAGTAAGTCCAATCAGTTAGAAATAAATTTCTGTGTTGCAATTAAACAATATTTACCATCTATTAAATTAGTCTGTTATATCCAGGTAGTATATTTTCTTTCTTTTTTTTTTTGTATTCGCATCATAGTACTGGTTAAAAATAAAAGCAAAACCTGTTACACGTTTCCTTCCCTTGCTCATCCATTTTCCATACTTTACAGTCCAGGGACTTACACAAACTTCCATATATTTATTAAGGTGCTGGGTACTGCTTTGCTCTTTGGAAGGGCTACTGACACAAAGAAGAGCTTCTTTAAATTTCTGAGACAGACGATGCTCCCACTTTTCCACTTTAATTCCTAATCATAAAATGCTGCCTTCTAATATGTAGATACAGTTCCTATTTATTAGCAGTAACTTTAATAATGAATATAAGTATATATGTGTGTGTATATACAAGTCAGTAAATTAATTGTTTAGATTTTAAAGAGTATATTAACCTGTTTGTTTTTCTGACAATACTAAAGAATACATAATTTAAAAAAATACTTTCATGATTAAAGATTTCATTATATTATTCTTTATAATAATAAAGCTCCCATCTCTGGAGCTCCTTTAAGCGGTGCTCTTAATGCCCTCTCCTCGCGTACTGGGAAACAAAGAGGCAGGAAAAAGTCTCTTGCCTCTTCAGCCCCCTTCAGGCTGTGTTCACGCCGCCAACCCCAGTCCTCTCCCTGGGATCTATGCTCCGAAGCCCAAGCCTCAACTCCCAGCCCCGCCAGCCCCGGCGTGTGAGCAGACAAGCCTCTCGGGCTGGTGAGTGCCGGTCGGCACCTATCCTCCGTGCGGGAATCTCTCCGCTTTGCCCCCCGCACCCCTGTGGCTGCGCTCTCCGTGTCTCCGAAGCTCCCCCTCCGCCACCCGCAGTCTCCGCCCGTGGAGGGGCTCCTAGTGTGTGGAAACCTTTCCTCCTTCACGGCTCCCTCCCACTGGTGCAGGTCCCGTCCCTATTTTGCCTCTGTTTTTTTTTTTCTTTCTTTTACCCTACCCAGGTACGTGGGGAGCTACTTTCCTTTTGGGAGGTCTGAGTTCTTCTGCCAGCGTTCAGTCAGTGTTCTATAGGACTTGTTCCACATGTAGATGTATTTCTGATATGTTTGTGGGGAGGAAGGTGATCTCTGCATCTTACTCTTCTGCCATCTTGAAGCTTCTCCCCCCAGCTTTCTTTTGATTTCCATTTGCATGGAATATCTTTTTCCATCCCCTCACTTTCAGTCTGTATGTGTCCTTAGGTCTGAAGTGGGTCTCTTGTAGACAGCATGTATATGGGTTTTGTTTTTTTATCCATTCAGCAAGCCTGTGTCTTTTGGTTGGAGCATTTAATCCATTCACATTTAAGGTAAATATCGATATGTATGTTCCTATGACCATTTTCTTAATTGTTTTGAGTTTGCTTTTGTAGGTCCTTTTCTTCTTTTGTGTTTCCCACTTAGAGAAGTTCCTTTAGCATTTGTTGTTGAGGTGGTTTTGTGGTGCTGAATTCTCTTACCTTTTGCTTGTCTGTAAAGCTTTTGATTTCTCCATAGAATCTAAATGAGATCCTTGCAGGGGTAGAATAATCCTGGTTGTAGGTTCTTCCTTTTCATCACTGTAAGTATATCATGCCACTCCATTCTGGCTTGTAGAGTTTCTGCTGAGAAATCAGCTGTTATCCTTATGGGAATTCCCTTGTATGTTATTTGTTGTTTTTCTCTTGCTGCTTTCAATAATTTTTCTTTGTCTTTAATTTTTGCTAGTTTGATTACTATGTGTTTCGATGTGTTTCTCTTTGTGTTTATCCTGTGTGGGACTCTCTGCACTTCCTGGACTTGGGTGGCTATTTCCTTTCCCATGTTAGGGAAGTATTTGACTATAATCTCTGCAAATATTTTTTCTGGTCCTTTCTCTCTCTCTTCTCCTTTTGGGACCCCTATAATGAGAATGTTGTTGTGCTTAATGTTGTCCCAGAGGTCTCTTAGGCTGTTTTCATTTCTTTTCATTATTTTTTCTTCATTCTGTTCTGCAGCAGTGAATTCCACCTTTCTGTCTTCCAGGTCACTTATCCATTTTTCTGCCTCAGTTACTCTGCTGTTGATTCCTTCTAGTGTAGTTTTCATTTCAGTTATTGTGTTGTTCATCTCTGTTTCTTCTTTAATTCTTCTAGGTCTTTTTTAAACATTTCTTGTATTTTCCCGATCTTTGCCTCCATTCTTTTCCCGAGGTCCTGGATCATCTTCACTATCATTATTCTGAATTCTTTTTCGGGCAGTTTGCCTATCTCCACTTCATTTAGTTGTTTTTCTGGGCTTTTATCTTGTTGCTTCATCTGGTACATAGCCCTCTGCCTTTTCATCTTGTCTGTCTTTCTGTGAATGTGGTTTTTTTTCCACAGGCTGCAGGATTGTAGTTCTTCTTGCTTCTGCTGTCTGCCCTCTGGTGGATGAGGCTATCTAAGAGGCTTGTGCAAGTTTCCTGATGGGAGGGACTGGTGGTGGGTAGAGCTGACTGTTGCTCTCCAGAGGTTGTGCTTTATAGTATCACTACTGGTGGTTACTTATTTTTTTCTACCAAAAATATTTTAGCTAATAATTTCATCTTTATACTGAAATTAATTACTTTTATTTTTTTAAATGTCAACTATGTCAACTTTATTTATTTATTTAAATTAAAAAATTTTTTCGTCTGCACCACTTGGCTTGTGGGATCTTAGTTCCTGATTAGGGATTGAAATCAGGCCCTCTGCAGTGAGAGTACGGAGTCCTAACCCCTGGACCACCAGGGAATACCCACGAAATTAATTACTCTTGAAAACAGTTTGTGAGAGCCTACAAAAAGAATATCTTTCAATGTCTCTTATGGACGTTCATTTAGAGTGCCTTTTAAATAATATTATGTTTAAATAATAGGTTCACAGATTTCTTTCCATGTGGTATAGTTTGATGTAGCAAATGTTCAATATATATCATGAAAACAAAATCAAATGTATATTAAAAAATCCACAAGAACACATTTCAGGAGGTTTCCCCCTTTTTTTGGAAGCAAAAGATCCATAAAATACTAAATAATTTCAATTTGAGTTTTAATTTGATAATATCTCTTCCTTAATACTCACCCCATGGCAAGATATATAAAAAGCAAAGGGAATGATAATGCAATATCTTTTCCCCTCAGTGATGTTCCACTGCTTGGGAAAAAGAGATTAACACATAGTAAGCAGGGTAAAGTATACCTACTTCCAATAACTTATATTACTCAGCTTTTCCTCCTGAATATCACCTGGTGCTTCTGTGAAGCATAGACATTCCCAGGCTCATTTTCAGCAAGTCTTGGGTGGGATAAGTCAACTGGCTTAACGAAATATTCTTGTCATTGTTAAGAGCAGACGAACTTGAGAAGTAAGTTTGCCTTGGTATAAATTATTATAATAAGCTATATGGTAACTGCTTAAGAAAACTGGGGGCAGGTATGAAGGAAGAACGCAGTATCTAGACCTGAAAGTGAGATGATACAGTTGTTTTAAGGAGCCTAATGTGCTGGGAATTAGAGCTTAGAAGCGGTCTGTAATAAAAACTCCATCATACAATTATGAGAAACTTCACAAGAAAGTTTCCTTATGATTTTCATTTTATCCCCATTCTCTGTCTTACCATATTGTTTAGATTCCACATATAGGGCATATACACTTTTGCCACTACTGTGGATGATTCATTCTTTGGACATTATTAAATTTTCCTTTTTAACTAAGCCTATAGTCAAATTTTATAATATTTTATAAATATAAGAAAGAATATAGTCTCTTCTGTTGGAAAAAGAAGAACAAGTTAAATTCAAGCAAGCAAAAAAAAAGAAAAGAAAGAAGAAAGTAAAAAACATTAGAGCAGGAGCAGTGAAATTGAAAATAGAGAAATACAGTGAAATGAAAAGCTGTTTCTTCCAAAACACTGGTAAAAGTAATCAATCTAACCAGACAACCAAGAGAGAAAGAACAGAATAGACAAAAATTACCATTATCAGAAATGAAAGGGGGCACATAACTATTGAACCCATAGACATTAAACAATATTATAAGGAAATACTATGAACAACCCTATGCCTATGAATTCAGACCAATTCCTTGAAATTCCTTGAAAGAAACTACCAATATTCACATAAAAGGACAAATAATCTGAGTAATCAGGTTTGTGAGAAACAGCCCAGCTCAGGAGCCAGAAGCAGGTTTGTATTTAGTTCAAGAATGACAGGGATATCTTTCACCAGTGGAAGAGGCTGTCTTTAAACTTCTTTCACCTGTGCATTAAAAAAGTACTTTAAAATTCTTGAAAGATCTGGTGGAGTTGCACCTACTTGGGAATCTCTAGGCTTTGTATATGGGCTTGGCTATTATGTGCCTCAGTTTTTCTTCTGGGAAGTGGGAATAGTAGAGGCGAACAAAGATTAAGAACCCAATATAAAGACATCCTTATATGTATGGAAGAATCATTTGTTTCTATCATTCTGTCAAGAGCTCTTAGCAGTGAGAAAACATTACATAGCCACATTCTATTCACTCAGCATTCTTAGAGGAATGAAGAGTCTTTAAAAAAGGAACTGTGAAGCAAACCAAAGATTAAAACTTTATATTTTAAGCTTTTTAGTTCAAGCCCTTTCTAATATGTATTACACACTTCTTTCCTTTCTTAAATGGTGTGTATTCACTATTATTTAAAATGTTACTGATGACTCAGGGTCATAATTTTTAAAAACTTTTATAAGGAAATAATCTCAAACTTTTGGTTGGTTTTATTTGGAATGGTGTATTATAGAAACAGGATATTCTGCACCCTTACTACAAAATATTAAACTACTGTTTTGTTTTGTCAACAAATCTAAGTAGGAAATGTGACCACTTGTGGATATGTAAGCAAATTGCTTATAAAGGTTTAAAAATGAGTAGAGCTAAAACTGAATTCTTTTAAAGCTTAATGCTTTGTAGTTTCTGTTTTAATTTTCCCCTCAACACCAACCTACAAATTAGTGTGATATTTTTAGAGAACTGTCAATTCAAGATTAAAATATTCTCATCTTTTGCCACATAATTATGGTAAATCTCATTGATGTCTTATCAAAATCTTTAGGAATATATATGCAATGAGAAGGCATCACTGAACCCTAGTTATTACTCTTCCTTAATTTTAATTATTGATCATTTACAAGCAGATAAGACATGCTGAGTACTTCAAAGTCTTCTTTCATTGTGGAATTTGAGATTATTTTCCGGGCTTTTGCATGAGAGAATTTTATTATCTGGCTTCTTTCCAAGCATGATCTAATAATAGCACATTACACCTACTATCCTTACTTCCTCACTTTTAGGAGATATGTTTATATATGTATATATGTTTATATATGTATATATAGAGATATGTTTATATGTGTATACTCACACATATATACATATCTAAATATATGTAATACATACTTTATTTTTATTAGATATTATCTAATTATTTCCTTAAATAAAAACAAACATTTCTCATATATCAGCAATCAAGTAACTATAATATTATGCACAGATTTAGAAAGTAACTATGTGGTGTAACAAGGAGACTCAGCAGCCTAAACTGAGAATTTGTTTTACATTGCTTCAAAGGAAAAAAAAGCTTCACAAGCTTTAATTTTTACCCCCGTTTATTTGTACTTCTCTTCATTTTGAAAAAAAGACATTTGCCATTTCTTTTTAACCAAGTCATTCACTTATGAAAATTCTCTTCTGGGAATGAGTGACATGTGTCTAGATTTCACACGTGTCAATTGAAATCTAGAACTGTTTTAGGTTTTTGGTGTTTTTTTTTTTTTTCTGTCTCCATTGAGTTGCATCTTAAATGTAGAATTTACCTTTCTGAAAATTGTTCAGCATTGCATTAGCTGTGTAGAGTGTGGACCTGATAATATTTTATTGCTTAAAAAGAGTGTTATACACTCTTTAAAGAGTATTATATGGGGAAAATAATAAAATTAAGGAATTATTTGTGTGTGTGCAGGTATTCTATTACCAGAAGCAAAGTGTTCAGTATTGATGACGATGGTACAGTCTTCACAACTAACTCTCTGGATCGAGAGATTAGTGCTTGGTATAACCTAAGTGTTACAGCCACAGAAAAATGTAAGTACTCATTTGGGAACCATATATTGGTTCCCCATATTTTAAAAACCATTCAGTAATCTCTAAACATAGAGACAAAAGCTAAAGTGTTGCTGAAATTAGAATTAAATGGTATTTTATATGTCAATTCATACATGTGTATTTATTTATTTATTTATTTAATAATTGTGTTTATTTTTACTTGTTGACAGTTTGCTTTATTTATTTATTTATGGCTGTGTTGGGTCTTCGTTTCTGTGCGAGGGCTTTCTCTAGTTGTGGCAAGCGGGGGCCACTCTTCATCGCGGTGCGCGGGCCTCTCACTCTCGCGGCCTCTCTTGTTGTGGAGCACAGGCTCCAGACGCGCAGGCTCAGTAGTTGTGGCTCACGGGCCCAGTTGCTCCGTGGCATGTGGGATCTTCCCAGACCAGGGCTCGAACCCGTGTTCCCTGCATTAGCAGGCAGATTCTCAACCACTGCGCCACCAGGGAAGCCCCATACATGTGTATTTAATTTATTATTTTAAATTCAAAATGTCTGCACATTCTTACTACAGCTCATTTATATACTTACCACTAAATATCTTCATTTTTATTATGGCAATAAATAATGTTTAATGCAAGAAATAAATCATGGAAAATTCATAAAAACACAAGAAATAAACAAAAAAATCCCTTGAAATTCTAAGAACTTTTAATTATATAATTATATGTTCTTACCATATTTTTCATGAATGCATTTTTAAATCAATTTTTAAAAATTGAATATAATTTTGTAAGTTTTTTCAAACTGGGCATATAAAATATTTCCCAGTAAAATGTGTTCAAATTAAACTCATTGTGTCAGCAGTGCTGATAGTCACATCTTTAATAATCAGTAGTGACCAGTTTTTTTTCACAGAGAAGCTGATGATTCCATTTTCAGGTTGCAAAACATAGATAAAATCATCCCAGTTTACCACTTAGATTGTGTCTTCAGAATTCTCAATCAGAATTAGATCAACCATATTCATTCAGGCTCAAAAGAATGGATAGAACACAATGGAAAGGATTATCAAAATCTTCCCTATTACTTAGTCAATGGTTTTAATATAGTACAGTAAAGGATTCAATTTGTGAGTTTTCAATGTTTTAGATTGCATCCTTTCAAAACTGATTTTGCATAGAATTTTATTAATCGTGTTTACTTTCTTGGCTTGTTCTTTGAAAGTCTTTGAACATATATCTTACTACTCACCTTATTGAGCAGTAGGCTGATGAGACGGTGGAGTACAAAGCATCTCTTGCATACTTTTTGTCATACATTGAATAGCTCTTTGGAAACTGCAGAAGGGCTGGGTCTGGGTTTTGAATTTTCTGTTTAACTAAACGATAAATGATGGTGAGCAAATATTGCAGGGGAGTAAATGCCTGCTGCACAGAAGAAATGACAAGGCTTTTGGTGTCAGAAAACACAAAGATGTTTGTCTAAAAGCAAGAAACTTTTATTCATTACATATTTCAGAGAACAAATTATTTATATCATTACTTACAAGACTGCTGAGGAAAGAATTCAAATCAGTTCAAAGAAGGACTGGACATCTTTGAAACATGTATTTCTATGTAAAGTAGCCTTCAACTATTGAAAGAGCATGTTTTAATGAATTTATGTAAATAATTAGCCACTGTAATCTTATTTTATATATAAGGGGAATTTTTTGTAAGACTATATCATTAACTTCTGTTAAATTAGAAGCACTACAATTTAAGTTATTAAAAAGCAGAGTCTTTAAAATGTGTTATTTGTATTGTTAGACACAAATATTGTGTCCCCTTCTCTAAGAAGAGGAAGGAAGGAAAGACTTTTCCCTAATTTTCAACAGTTAGAGTTAAGCCCCTTTTTAAAAAAAATTTGTATTTGCCCTTACGAATTACAATTGCAAATATAATGCTTTGTGATTTTAAAAGAGAGAGCATGTAAGATTATAAATAAAAACACTGATACAAACAAAAGAAACTCCCTCTCCCCACTCTTCAATGTATGTACCTTCCCATGGCTTTTTAAAATAAAAAAGAAAGATTTAAAATAATGATATACAAATATGCAATACCTTATGCTGCAAATTGTTTTTTAGCACTTCACAAAACATCATGTATATCACTTCTGGTTAGTAGTTAAGTAAAATAATAGTATTTAGTGTTTATTGCTTATTTATATAAGTGATCTTCTAAATGTTTCATATGTATTAATTCATTTAATCTTTATGACAGCTCTATAAGCTTGTTACTAGTATCATTTCCATTTTACAGAAAACCAACTGAGACAAACAGTGGTAAGCATTTTTCTCAAATTGAGAACCAAGATTAAAATACATTTTTAAAGTTCATGATATTACTACATGTGTTACATTGATGTATTCATTTTTAATAAGCATGCACAATTTCATAGTTTGGTGGTAATTTATTTCCCCAATCCCTTTTGGGTTACTTCCAGTTGTTTGTTTGGGATGCAAACAATTCTGGAATAAATAGATTGGATTACATACTCTTATATATTGGTGCCTTGGACTGTAGCATAGGTTTCCCAAACTAATGACTGGGTCAAAGATATGTGTAGTTTAACTTTTACTATCCATTGCCAGATTAGGTTCTAGAAGGGGCTAACATCCCACTATTTTTCATCCTTCCACCATCACTGGCTCTGTGTTTCATATTTAACACAAGGACTAAATCATCATTCTCCTCATTTCTGGTGAGCAAGCGCCTTTGTGAAAGTTATGATAGAGCAACACATCTCAACTGCAGGCATTTTTGCCTCCTAGGACATTTGACCATGTCTGAAGACAAGTTAGATCATCACAACTAGAGTGGAGGGTGCTCATGTACCTGACTATCTCCTTTACTTTTACTACTTTTCCTCAACAGCTCCTACAGTCCATGGCAGATACAAGGCACTAGATAAACACTGGTTGAGCTGAATGTGTTGAGAACATTTTTCTAGGCTGTATTGTTGATAAATAGATGAATTATATACCTATCCTGTCCTCAGCTTTTATTCAAGTAAAATAAAAATGTACCACGTAGCCTCTAATGCAGTTTTCATGACCATTTTTCCCCTAAAGACAGCATTAGCATTCTTTATTTTCATTCTGTTTATTCAATTTGCAGACAGTATAGAACAGAATTCTGCAGTCCCTGTGTATGTGCAAGTTCTCGATATCAATGATCATGCTCCTGAGTTCTCCGAATACTATGAGACTTACGTTTGTGAAAATGCAGTCTCTGGTCAGGTAAGAATCCATAATAAATTGCCGACATCGAAACATTGCCTTGTATTATATAGAATAACTTTTGCTATGTATTCCTCCCACTTTGAAATGATAAAAATAAGCGTTATTTAGCTATACTAATTTCATGCTTTAATGCTGTAAATTCTGTATAATTTAAATTTCTTTCTTTTAAAAAAATATGTAAACTTCACATTTTCTACTTCCAAATTCCTCAAATGTTTGAAAAATCTGCTAACAGTCAGGATTCAAGAGTAAATCCTTTGTACTTTGTCAGTTCTTGAGAAATGAGTGTTTGTTTTTTCTACTCACTGCTCACTGACAGTGAAAGCATGATCATAAGAGTCTTTGGACATTAGGTACAGAGGAAATAATAGCAGAAGCCAGAGCAGATGAAATTTCCTACAGCACAGTTGTCTGACTTCAATGTTAAAAAAAACTTCAATGGTTTTTCCAAAACTAGCACATACAAGTGCAAAACTCCCTGGCCTCATATTTATCACTGTCTTTGATTTGGTCACAATTTTATCTACCTTGATTTAAAAAAAAAAAAATCTTGTTCATACTCTGAACTGCTTGTTTTTTAAAACATAGATAACTTTCTAATTTGTAGTTTTGTTCATATCAACTCTCCTTTCTGAAATGTCTTTATTTAATTCTGTTTAAATTTTAACTATATTGCAAAACTGAACTCAAATTTACCATAAGTAATCTAACCAATTTTAAACAAATAAATAATGTTGACAATGTCCCACACATGATTCTAGCAAACACTATAGCATTAACCCATTTAATTCTCAAGAAATATATGAGGAAAATATACTACATGCCTCATTTTCCAGGTGAAGAAACTGAGGCCCAGAGAAGTTACTTCCTAAGAAAAAACAGAGAGATATTTTATCCCAAGTGCTGGCATCAGAATCCATGCATTTCATCATCATGTTTTTGCTCCCTATCTATACCTAGTTTGAATAGATCTTATACATTTGTCAAACAAGTTGTCTCTAGTTTTGCATGTTTTCTAGATTATAAGATATTTGCGAGTTTATTTTGATATTCTTGATAATAATAATTAGTTGAATAAATGAACAGAGCATGAAGACTATGTTTCTCGAAACAATGATAGGGTATTTTTCTCTACAATTCTCTGTAGATATACATTTGAATTTATTAACCTATATGTGATATTTAAAACCTTTAGTGTGATAAGATCCCTTAAGGAGAGAGAGTAGACAGAGAAAAGACTAAGTCTAAAGACTGAGACCCAGATACTCTGTAGTAAGTACTGGGAGTTGTAAGGAGCAAACCAGGAGAGTGTGGGAGCCTAGAAACCAAATAAAGAAAGTGTTCCAAGGGGAAGGGAGTTATTACCTTTTTTATTTACTGCGTACAGGTCAGGTAAAAGCAGAAAAGAAAAGGTCCATTCAAATTCAACAATTTGGGACTTACTAGAATATTTGTAGGTAAGAAAGTATATGATGTCACCCAGGAAGAAAATATAAAGTGAGAATATGAACGAACATAGGGCAGAGCCTTTGGGGACAGCAATATTTAAGGATTTGCTAAAGGAAGAGAAGCCTGCAAAAGATACTAAGTAGGTGTGACCAGTGAGGTAAAAAGGAAACAAAAAGATTTTTGATGTGGACATGCATAGAGGTGATAGTTTTTGAAGGAAGAATTGTCAATAGCCTCCATTCCCACTATTTCAGGGGGAAAAACAGCTCTCACAGTTCACCATTTGGTCATTTACTTAAAAAAAATGTATTTTATACACAATTCACAGTTATATAAAGAGACAGTGCAAAACAACTTTATTAAAATGTGGCAAACCAAAGTTGCACCGGACGCTTGTTAAGGATGCCAAGGAAGATGTTATTCAAGATTATTACAAAGGTCGAGACTATTGCAATAGGGGAGAGAGAACTTAAATCTATTGAAACCAAAAGCAGGAGAGTTTTTAAACACTGGTGTGAGCTAGTGAAAACGTCCTGGAGGGCACATCAGCGGAGAGGTTGGTCAATGTGATTAGACCATCTACGTTTGCTGATTGACTCTAGCAGAAGTTAGGCTCCCAATCTCCCATAGAGACTGGGAGATAGGGGCCCTGTCTTTCTTGATGATTACATTTCAGAGGAATGTTTTCCAGGTGGTCTTTCTTGAGAAAGACCATCCAGCATTGTAAAATGGGAAAAGGCTGGGAGAAGATTTATCTCTATTCCAAAGGGGCAGAGAAAATTTTTTTGATTAGAAGTTTTCTAGTGTAATTGTTCTAAGAAAATGTACATCAGGAGTCTCTAGTTAGGGAGAAATTTGTCTGCAACTGAGCCAAGCTGAGGGTACTGTTATGGCCCTCCTGATCAAATGTTAATAAAATGAAAACATGGCAAATACATATTTGTCAATATATAATACTTTGAGAAGTTTTTAAAAACTTTTACAGCTCATATTTTTGCTGGAGAATGGCTATCTTCTTTGTTCCATGATTGCAGAGCATTTAATCTTTAGATTTATAAAAAGCAAATAGCATAATCAATCTACTTAAAAAGAAATATTCTATTGCATCCTTTTCCTTCCAGTTACATTTGGATACATTCTGTCTTCACAAATTTTCAGGATAAATCAAATAGATTTTGCTGCAAAAATTTTATAATAGATGAAAAAACACTGTCACATTTAATTTTAGCAAAACAGAACAGCCCAGATTCTCATTAAAAAATATTCTGTAAGGAAGTCCTTCCTATTGAATGACTAAAAGGATGATTACTATATTTTCTCTTTATCCTTAGAATCATATCGTTCACTCATTGATTCTTGATTTTGAAAATATTCATGTGTTCTATCTTCATCTGAGGACTCACAGTCTAAAGCTTTGCTTACATGATCAATTTCACCATCTTCTTGAGTCTATAGTGCTGGCTTCTGCTTTTGGTATTCATCTTCTAATTCACCTAAGAACTGTGAAATATCTTCCTCTGGCAAATTTATTTTGTTTGTCATTATGGATGTAAAATTTTAATTTTGAATTTTCTACTGTTTTTAATGAAAAACAATATCAGACTAAAAAGATAGTGTATCATTGCTTTTATATCTTTTTTGAAAGATGGTACAATACTTTGAGCAATACATTTACAAAAAAGAATGATGCAATGGGAAAATTTATTTTATTGTTGCATCAACCTTCTAGACCATTCATCATACAAGTTTTATATAAGTTTTAAAAAGCACATTGGGAAAACTTTATGAGTAATGATGAAATTTGTAGGATGATGAAATAGGCATAAAAAGAATCATATCACTAAGTTCTTATGATGTATCCTAGATCTATAAAAGTATCCAGTGTGACCATTCAGTAATTGAAGATAGGGTTAATTTATTTATTTAAAGATAAATTGATATTTCTTCATTATTTGGACACTTCTAAGAATTAAAAAAAATGAAATACCAATGTTTAGAAATAAGTATAACTGCTCAAATAGTAACACAAATACTAATTTTTGGTGCAATGAACTCTAAAACTATTCTGAGAGTTAAACTCTGCTGTGGAAGAAAAATGTCCATTGGATGCAGTGGCATAGAGTTCTCTTGTGACTTGCTAAGAGTTTAAATGTAAACCAACATTGAAAATCTATGAAATTCTATATTTTTATAATTTTACAGATGTGTATATTATGCTTCAAAAATTTAGGTAACTTTTTCAGCATCATATAGATTATAAGTGGTTAAGCAGGGATTATCATTTATATCTATGTCCAAGAATGATGCTCATTTTATCTATGCCCTTCTAATCATAAAGACTAGCTATCCTTAGATTACTTGCTCAATCCAAAGAGAAACAGGAAAAAGGTTTTTCTCTTTCTGTACTCATAAGTAATTACATTTACAATTTTAAGGACAAAAATTAAAATAAGGTCAGGGGCTTCCCTGGTGGCGCAGTGGTTGAGAGTCTGCCTGCCAATGCAGGGGACACAGGTTCGAGCCCTGGTCTGGGAAGATCCCACATGCCATGGAGCAACTGGGCCCGTGAGCCACAATTACTGAGCCTGCGCGTCTGGAGCCTGTGCTCCGCAACAACAGAGGCCGCAATAGTGAGAGGCCTGCGCACCGCGATGAAGAGTGACCCCCACTTGCCACGACTAGAGAAAGCCCTCGCACAGAAACGAAGACCCAACCCAGCCATAAATAAAAAATAATAAAAAATAAAAAAAAAAAAAAAAATAAGGTCAGTACAGCTGATCCTCACCTCCTTCCCGGAATGTGTACTGCTCAAATTCAGAATAAGTCACATTGATCAGCCCTATATTACAATGAGTTTCCTTTAAGGAGGAAGGCCAGAAATCATCAAATAGTTCTTAGAGGGCTCATAGATGTCATTATCAAACCAAGGAGTTTTTCCCAGGTCTATATGTACCTGAAAGAATGGTACATAGAATGGCTACCTATAATGTTCTTCCACTCAAATTCAAATTCAAATTCAATGGGAATTCAAAATTCCCACTGACACTGCTACATACACTATGATTTATGAACTGAAGCCAATTCAATGGATGGACAATTTGAGTTCTGCCAATATGTGCAACGTTACCATACATACTTTCTTCCTAGCACATGGCCATGACCTTATTTTAATAACATGGAAAAAGAAAAAATAATATGAGCATTAGGGCTATCATGGCTCCTGGATTGTCACGGTTTCCCCCATGTTTTCTTAGATGTTACATGTGGAATCAGACTAACTTACACTCATATTTCTGGTCTGAAATTTACTGGGTAAGCTTCCTTCAAGTACAACTAAAACAAAGCACCAAATATTAATACATACCTCCCAGAGTACCAATACAAACTTTCAAAAGTGCTGTTAATTTCTTACTCATTCCTAAAAGTTTGATAGTAATGTGTGAACGTTAAAACTTAATGGATTAAGCTCTCAAAAAGTATTTGCTTTAAAAGATAATAAAGCATGTCTTGTGTAACTGAATGGCTTTTATGTAGAAACCATAATTATT